TCAAGAAGCATAATGGATAATTATCTCTATTCCTAGAGTTTTATGTGAGGCAAACTATGAAGAAGATAGCAAGACAAATGAACTTTGAGACTAACTTCTTCATTAATCTTAAAATTTTGTAATTTTCGAAGGTAATTCCTCTCTCGCTCTCATCTTGAAGCTCTTTTAACATGTAAAACTTAAGATTAGGTTCTCTCTTTTCTTATTTTGTAATCCCTAGATTTTAGTAGATATTGTATTTTCTCATGTAAAGAACTTAAAAATATTACAATTTTTCTTGACTTATTGATTGACGGTAATGTTTCCTTTAGGTAAGCTCTATCTTAAATTAACTAGTAAATGTTTTAAATTAATTATTATAAACATATGATTATCAGAAACCATTTTGCACGTAACCTGTTTGTAGAATTTTTTATATATATTAAAAGCTTAAGATAGAGATAGAGCATGACTTAACTTCTTTCTTTTGGCAGAAGACTCAACTTTTTAGTCTTGCTACTTCAAAGCAGATTGATTTATTATATGTCATATTTCACAACATAATAATACTTCGTTTTTATCTCATTTTATTGCATCTTCTTTCTCAGTAGATGTGACCATTGAACAAGTAAAGTGGACCCATTTTATTATGAGGCAGACTCTAGGAAGTCATCATCTGAAAATGAGTTTCCTATTACAAGAAAATTATTAGACAATCCCTGAGTTGAAGACAATCTAAACAATTCACGGACTAGAAATATGATTGAGGCATGTACACTTTATGTTCCTTTGATAGTTGCACCACTATTAATTGAAAAAGTACATCACCGTGAAGGATCAACACTTGGAAGAAGTTACATTCGATGTGATAGGGTACAACACCATTGGTTAATTGTTAAGGACTTCTTCATTGGTGAGGCTTTAAAGTATACAGAAGATCATTTTAGACGTTGATCGATTTTGAATGGATATTACTTTATTCCAACGAATTTTGGAAGAGATTAAAAATTTTGATGATTATTTCACTCATAAAATTGACGCGGTTGAAAATCATGGGCTTAGTCCGCTGCAAAAAATGACAGCAACAATGTGCATGCTCGCTTATGGTTGTGCAGCAGGTACACTGGATGAATATGTCCAATTTGGAGAGAGCACATCAATTGAGAGCCTAATTCATTTTTGTGATGCAGTTATTGCATGCTTTGGAGGCTATTGTCTAAGAAGTCAACCTTTAAATGATATTCATATTTTGCTTAAACAAGGCAAGGCTAGAGGATTATCAGGTATATGCTTGGTAACTTGGATCACATGCATTGACATTGAAAAAATTCCCTAATAGATTGGCATGGAACGCATACAAATGGATTCAAAAGAGTTCCAACTCTCATTCTAGAGGTTGTTGCTTCAAAGAGCTTTTGGATTTAGCATTCATTCTTTGGGATGCCAGGTACATATGAATATATGATGATATTTCAGTTCTAGACCACTCTCCATTCTTTGATGGTATCATGATCGAATGGGGTGGCTCCGCCGTGCAACTTCACTTTAAAAGAGCATCAATACAATATGAGATATTATTTCTCTGATGGAATTTACCCAGCATATGCCATGCTCATCCAAACTATCTCGCAGTCATGTTCTATGAAGGAATTTTTTTCCAGAGCGCCAGAAGTTCATCTGAAAAGATGTAGAGCGGCCATTTGGAGTATTACAAAGTAAATGGCACATTATCAAAGGCCCTGCACGTATGTGGCATGTAAAAGTTATTGGGAAATTAATGAAAAATTGAATTTTTATGAACAATATGATAATTGAGAGTGAAAGCAGTCAAGGTATGGATCCAGAAAATCGGCAAGACCCTAAAGACAAAGCGTCAGAAAATGAACATGATTATAATTTTCTTGTCTCAACGATGATTAGTCGGTTGAAGAATATACAAGACAAGCGCGTGCACAATGATTTGAAAGTGGATCTTATTGGTCACATATGAGATAAATATGGGGACACGTGATTTATATGGTATTAATATTTATAGCAAAACTATTTTAATATGGTTTTTGAGAGACAATGAAACTTTTTCATTTGTTGTTGTATGTATTAATATCTCCATTTCAAGCTTATTTGATTTCACTCGGTTTTTATATAATAGACAGAAGACACTAAATTAATATTAATTAATATTACAAACATAAACATGTGAGAAATAATTAAAGATGTAAACACAACGCACCCGCTATATAAATAAAGAAGTTTTTTCATTAAATAAGTGGTTGTTCCAACAAAGCATATTGTTTGGTCATGTCGCTTGCATCTTTATCAAAATCACAAAACATGAAGCTAATTATACAAAGTGGTTGTACCAGATGAACAAAAGACGCATTTCCCAAGTAGCCTCATGTACAACTTCACGCTATACAAAAAATGACAACATTTAGACTTCCTTATTTTTCAATGTGTGAATCTGCATCCGTGCATGAGTGGTCATCCAAGTCATTAATCACTTTTTCGGATTCCTGTAGAAGAAGTTCAAAGCAAGATTGGGGTGAATTTATCAAAAGAACATATACAACTACTTTTATTAAAATAGCGAATTTAAATTTCAAGTACTAGCCACTAATAGTAATTTAAAAAACAAGTGAAATTAGGTAAAAATATATTAAGCTTACCAATTTGTCACCAAATAGTCCTTTTCCCACTCTTTTAATATGCGGTCTTGATAGAGTTCATTTTTTTCCAGATGTAGTGGTAATTTGCTAACATCAAGACTCATAATACGATATTGATCTTCTCTCTTTTGAGATTTTTCCCGAAGCGTTTGTTCTTTCTTTTGAGGTTCCTCCCGAAATTTCTCATCTCTTTCCTTAGATTTTTTATAGGGAGCAGGCAGGGGAGACTGAGGCAGAGCCGAGCCCCAGGCCCTTGTTGGTCTACCGTAGGCGGGGGGACGGGCTTGAGCCCACCTTCGTGGGATGGATATTTTAGTTGGCTTTAATTAATTCCTTGGTAATTTCTTTTTATTATGTTTCCTATTTTAATTTCATTTCCTATTATGATTTAATTAGGAGTTCTACCTTAAATAGAACTAGTGAGCTATTTATACCCCTTAATAGGGTTATTCGAATCATCCATTATTATTGAATAAAGTTGGTGTTTAAGCTTTAAGTTTGAGCAACGGTTGCTACCGTTGATTACTATTTTCAGCTCTCATCACCTTTTCTGGGTTCTACAACTTCATTTATTGAGCAACGGCCTAAAGATCCAACTCCTTATTCATGGACTTGTTGTTTCATTTCAAACTCTTTCCTATTGATTTCTCTTTTCAACTCCAATTCTACACCCGTGAAACTGATTTCCATCTCCATAGTGGAATGCATATCTTTTAGAGCATCAACCACATGACCACATCAGATTCTTCATTGAGCTTTCTCTTTTTCTCCTTGCAGCCCTTCCTTTCTTATGGGCGTGCAATATCATCATGATCATTTCCCTAGAATGACACATTATTGATTGGTTCCTCTATACCACCATTTTATGTATGTTTGTACTCGGCTCTTTCAATCTCTTTTGTTTTTGCAAGCTCTTTGGTGCACCATTTTGGATTCTTTGTCAAGATCCCCCAACAATGTTCAAACTTGAATTTTTTTTTTCTTATTCAATGTCAAATACATGTGGGTAGCTGGCGTCTCTACAAAGCATAAATGGAATGAATTATCAGAGATTTTTTTTTTGTATGAGTGGTAAAATGTTTGGAAAAACTAGGCAATAAGCTAAAGAAACTAACCATATCCTCTAAGTTGATACCGCTCTATGGTTGGCGATCTAGTTTTTCCAACGACATGTGATATCTTTTTCCAACGACAACCTAACCTGTTATGGGTTCATGTTTTATTGCATTCACTCCCCATATCTTCTCTCCAAGACTCCAAGCATCAAATATGTGTTTCCACATTGCTGTATTTTTTGGCTATTGCCAATGTCAATGCAATGCCTTCAACTTTACTCCGATTCTTAAAACCAAGTGATGCCTCACGAGCTTGAGAGTTATTATTGGTCTTTTTCTGCTGTGGGAGCCTCTTTGTGCATATTTGTTGTTGGTGTAGGACCGACAGGTAGTGAAGGAGCATTATATAGTTGCTGAAATGACATACCAAGTCTATCTCACTGATTGGTAAGAGAGATTGCATTCACATCATTCGGGTTGAAGAAATAATTGGGTTGGAATGTGGTATTTAAATGATCAAACTAATTTAACATCCTATTTGATGATTTTGATCCCATACCCTCTAGCATTTGTGCCATAGATGGAAGATTCACCATCCCATTTGATCAATTGATCCTATAGCCTCAACGAGTTGTGCCATAGATGACATATTTTACACTTTAGAGTTTATCATGTGATGCCTACGTAGTCTCATCGTATGAGCAAGAACCAGAAACACAGTTGACAATGAAATAATACAATTCTCTAATTCTGGGTTGAGTATTGTAATGGTCTTTTTGAGATAAAACAATACTCTAATTCTGCCTACATAGCCTACATAATATGTAAAACTTTCATGGAAATTTTCGTAATGGACCTAATGGTCTTAATTAGGGATGGACTGGGCCGGGCCGAACCGGCCCAGAACCGAACCGGCCCGCTACTGTGCGGGTCCGGACCAGACCGGGCCCGGTTGGCCGGTTCCGGGCTTTTAGCCCGTGTGGGCGGGCCAGTCGGGCCGGGCTCGGGCCCAGTTTTGGGCGAACCGGCCCGGGCGGTTCGGGCCGGGCCCGGGTCAATTTTTTTTTCAATTTTTTTTCTTTTCCTAGGGTTGGGCTGGGTGTTTTGGGGAGGTTTGGGGGGTGGGGGTGAGGGGGGGGGGGTCGGGAGATAACAAGAAAGCAAAAAAAAAAAAAATATTGAACCGGACCCGGCCCGGCCCGGCCCGGTTAGGCCCGGACCCGGTAGCAACCTGGGCCAGTTCCGGGCCCAAGAAATTGCAAAAAAGCCCGCCCGGGCCCGGCCCGGAACCGGAACCGGCCCGGGTCCATCCATAGTCTTAATGAAATATTCACTTCAAGAAGTTTTAAAACTTTCCATTAAAAACACAGAGACAACTGCCAGACATGTAGATGTATAGGACATAAAAAAACAGTGGATTATACAAAAATATCAGCTATTCAGAAGCAAGTCACATGTTTGGCTTAGCAAGCCATCTTGTTCATTTATGCACATCCTTTTCTTCTTGAACTTTAGTCTCTTCTTTCTTATCCACAACGTGTTGAATACCTTCTTGATATCCTTCGATGAAGCTTTTGAGAGCATCTTTGTATGCTGTTGCTCTAGTCATGTAAACCCGCTGCAATGCAGGCCTAAGAGTTTCCATTCCACCCCTTGCAGCAACAGCTAATGGTAAAAAAATATGCAAAGAATGGAAACATTAAAACAAGTTCATTTGTACCCAAATAAAATGCTGAGCAGAATAAGCCAGAAATTGCTACAAAACGGGGCCTAATTATGTTAAATATGTGTCTGTATGGACCAGGTTGTTGAGGAGGTTTACCTAGGTCCTCCAGTGTTGAGGGTTCCTTCTCTTTAGTTGTATCATTCTCTTCGTTAAACATGTCTTCACTGGATTGTTTCTTTTTGTAGTCATTAGGTCGAAGTTCAGGGCCTATGTCTCTTACCCAGCTTGCAGCATAAAGTCTAGATGCTTCCTTCAATATCTGAACAATTATTTTCAAATCCAAACATAGCATCTTAGTGAAAATAACACAATTTGAAGAATGATCAAATAGAGTGACTATCATCTCTGCTAAGTGATAAAATGTCAAGAACAATGGACGCAATCATGCAAGTTGACAATTTTAAGGCACTAATATATACTCCGTACAATTTAAGCAAGAGAAATAAATTTCTTTGGGAAAAGTATTGCATCAGAGAAAAACTCACAAGGAAACGCTCCTTCCATGTTATTTTCCGGCGCTTTTTCATATGAGGTGGGTCAGGTAAAGATGAAGGGAATGCAATTTCCTTCAGGTCGAAGCGTACATAATCATAGAGTTTCCGGCAAACCACCTTCACCTTCATCCTAACTCTTGCTATGGCAGATCTAGCATTTGAATTAAGTGTGGGCCAAAATTATGATGAGGTTGAAAGAGAATGAATTATATTAAAAAGTATTACAAGAACACACATTATAATTCTTCTCTAGTCATTCAACACAACTCATGGTGAGCTAGTTTGACAACCACCTTTATTTAAAATTGAAACTCTAATGTCCTTGTTATAGCACCTCCCCATAATCTAAGACATAGCCAGGGGCGGAACCAGAACAAAAAGTAAGGGGTGGCTAAAACTATTACAAAATGCAAAAAATATAAACTGTTATTAAAGTTCACAAAATATAAAAATTGTGAGAAGAGTACATTACATTACAATTAAAAAATTCGACACGAGGATGTTTTTCTCTATTACTTTCTTCGTTATCCCGTTTAGAAGACCCAACGCCTCGTGTTACGGATTGTGAAATAGACATGATCACGAGTAACCTAACAATTTAAAAATGTTTTCAACTTTAAATTCTTAAAGAGTTAAACCATTTAATCAATTAGAATTTAAAGCAAGTAAAGCAATGAAAGTAATTAATAAAAAAAAATGACAAACCATTTCAACTTTATACCAATTCAAGCAATTAATCAATTAAACTTTAAAGCCATAAAGTAAATAATCAATAAAATTGCAAAAGAATTTACTGTAAAGCAATAAATCAATTCAATTTTAAGTAAATAGGTAATTAAATCAATTTTTTCCATCATATTCAATGGAGCCAAAATGGCTTACTCAACTGTCTGCGCTTCTTTGTTGTGAAGTAACAGTCAGCCTGTACAATTTTCGATGCAATTTTCACTACGGGTCATTCGGAAACAGTCTCTTTAGTACAGGGGTAAGATTACGTACATCCGACCCCCTCATACCCCACCGTAGGTGGGAGCCTTTGCGGCACTAGGGTAATGATGATGAATGAATGAGGTAATTAAATCAATAAGCAATTAAACTAACTAAAAAAGATTTCAGTTTTAAATTTACCAAAGTAGGCAACTGCTTCGGACTTCAATATCGGAGAAACATGCTAGGGGCCTAGGACTGCCGGCGGCGACTCTGCAAGACTGCGACGGACTCCGAGACGCGAGGCGGCGAGCCAGAGAGTTGGAGACTGATGAATGAGGGACTGCGGAGTGCAGCCTGCGGAAGTTGCGATTTGGGAAGGCGCCAGGCGGGCTGCTTACTGCTACAGTGCTACTCTGCTCTGCCTCAAACCTCCGTATTTTATAATTTTCGGGTATAGGAAAAATATATTAACCGTTAACAAGAATAAGTTGCTACTATTGAAGGTATATTGGTTTGTCATTCTTATTTAATGTGGGACACTCTTGAATACAATCTTGACCCTTCGTATTCATTGATTTGAAAAATGAAAAATAACTGCACCTTAAATTATATACTACCTCCGTTCTCTTTTAATTGCAACGTGGATCAATACTTACAAAAGCTAATGAGATCCATATTAGGCAATTCGATTAATATTCAGAATGATATTAATACTAAATAAAAGTATTAAAGAATAGGATCAATATTGACCCACTCACATTCATAACAAACTACTCCCTCCATCCCGGTAACAACGAGACAAGAGGGAGTGACACACAAATCAATAAAAAGTGATTTATGTGGTTGATATTGAATTGATAAAAGTAAGAATGATTTAGAGCCACACAAATTTTACCATATTTGGTATGAGACAATCTTAGAACGGACCGATAAGGTAAAATGAGACAATCATAGCGGGACGGAGGTAGTAACAAATCACTTCACTACACGGCTACTACATTTGGATACCCTTGGGATTATAGGAACATCATCGTTTTTGGGAAAAGGAATTGAAAAGAAAAAATAACATTTTATTTAAAAACAGAAAATGAAACAGATAAGTTCCTAACAATTAATTACGCGGAGAAAAAGTTGTAAACTTGATATATAATCACAGTTCCTAATTTAATCTTCCAATTGCGATTAAGTTGTGGAGTTGTTTTTTACCTAGCTGCGTGTCTGAGTATGAATGTTCCAAGGCGAGCGGCGGCGCGGTGGACGGTAGTAGGTGCAGGGAGGGCGCGATAGCAGCGGTACTTCTGACTTCTGAGCCGGTGAGTTGGGGATGAAGCAACGGTCCAGCAACGCTAATTTTTCTTGGGCCGCAGTACCACCCGTTTAGCGGCATAAGGAGTATATATTACGGAGTATAAACTTGGACTACTATTTTCTGAATCAATTTTGTTATAGGTACCTCAACTCTACCCCAATTTGTACCCCATATGAATATCTCCCTTTTACCATTTTTTTTTACTCTTTTCCAAAAATATCACTCTCACTCTCACTTCTCTGCTCTACCCATACTATTCTTTTTCCCCCAAAATCTGCAGCACCCATTCGCAGCTGCTACAGTGCACAATGACCTCTCTTCTCCATTATTTTCAGCTGCCACAGTGCACCCACTTCGTTACTTTTCTTCTTCGTTTTATAAACCATGCAATGGAAAATACAGAGTGCCACAGTGCAACCACTTCACTTTATTTTGCTGGCACTTTGCTACCACAGTGCACCCACTTCACCTTCATCAAATCTATCTAAATATCAACCAGATACATGGAATGTCTTCTCTTGTTGGCACTTTGTTGTTAGTTATTGACATTTCTCCGGAACAAAGAGACCAAGATCTTGATATAGGAAAAGAAAACCATCCACCAGATCTGGGAGATTTTGAAATTTACCTCCGCATTTCGAACTGGACAAGCTCATATATGGTTGAGTACAGAGCTTCCCGGTCTTCTTTCTTTGCTAAAATCTTGAGTTCTTGGTCAATGTGAATACCCCAACCGGCATTTAGATCTGGAAAGTACAGATGACGAAGTTGTGTCCTCACAAGCAACGAGGTTGATGATGAAGGTGAGATGGTCTTGAAAGACTTGAGATTGTCTTTTTTCCTCATTTTTTGGTATTTTTTTCGTCCAAATCCACATGAAAAGGAGTTGTCTGTCTGACAGACAAATTTGAAGTGCAACGTCTGTCTAATTGAGCATGGTTTCATAATTGGTAGAGTCTTACATAAGATGTCTGTCTGGACAGACAAAATTATTAATTTGAGTATATAGAACAACTGTATTGATGGAGTATATGGCCCGGGAACCCCCGGCCCACAGACTCCTACTACTCCACCAAAGGCCCAACAGGCCCAACAGGCCCAAATCACAGCGCCCAGAGTACCAAGCAGTCCACACAACGCACAGGGGTGCCTTCGGCCCCCTGGCCGAAGGCTCCAAATTATCACAGAGCGGGTTTCTCAAGCAAACTAAGAAACTGGGAGAAAACGGCGAAAACAGCGGCCCTCGGCACACAGGGTTGCCATCGGGAGGAAGAGCCCTCGGCTACTGCTCTATAGCCGAAGGCATCTCACTCGACAAGATATCCGCCTCACCTGCGTACAGATCACCGTACTCTGCACAGACGTCCCATCCAACAGCCGCATTAAATGCGGCCACATGCGGCTGCCAGCGCCAACCAGTTGAGGTGACCCCTCGGCCAATGAGCGCTTGACACGTGTCCCTGCCCGGCATTTATTGCTGCTATAAATAGCACCCCATTTCCTCATTTGTAACCACGCTGAAAACGCTCCACATTTATAATACACTCTCTCTCTATATATTTACTTGCTCTGACTTCTCTCTAGATTACTTCCCGCAATAACCCTTCGGATATATACCCCCGGGTAGACTATCCATCATTTGGTGCTCTCGTTGAGAGGTCGAACTATCAAGTAAGAAACCCTCCCCCTCGACCAAAACACTACCCCTCTATCAAAATGGTGAGGACAACACGTGCCAACTCAAAGAACGTAGAAGACAAGAACCTGCCCCTCGGCGACGTCAACGCCCCCGAAGCCTCTCACAGGGCTCCCGAGGGCGGTGTCATCGCTGGGCTGGAACAGGCGGCTGTCGACCTACGCCTTCAGATCCAACAAAACGCCCCTGATGCCCGTCTCGGCATCGAGGCCAAGAAGAAAAACCGGAGCGATGACCAAGTCAGTCCTCCGGTTCTCACCATCGACGTACAATCGGCGCTCTCCGCCTTCATCCAAACGCTCACTCAGAACCCGGGTGCCTTCGGCACCCTGGCTCCAGCTCACCCTCAGATCGGGGAAAATATCATACTTCCCCCTCTGCCACACCCCTTCGGAAATCCCACCCCTCGGGTAAGGAACGACGAGGGGGTGGTGGCCCAAGAAACATCCTCCCAGGAAGTTCAGTCCCGAGACCGCCATAATGACAACAGGGAGAGGCCCCGTACTTCCGCCCTCAACCGACTCGGAGGAGGGTCAGACCGCCGAGGGGTCCAAGACCGCCTCGGGGGGAAAGCACTCCAAAGGCCCCAGGAAAGCGGGGGATCTGTTTCGAGGGCAGACGAGGAGCGTCCCCCTCGGGACAAAGGCAAGGCACCCCTTCATGCCGATGATGCCCGACACCAAATCAACCAGGCCCACTCGGCCCGGGTTCGTTCGCAGGGGGCGGAGACCCTCCCGAGGGATCCCCGGGACGAGATTATTGCGGCCCTCCAACGCCGGCTCGACGAGATGGAGTCCAACAAAGCTCACGCCACCACCTCCACCCCTCACTCAGACCTCAAATACGAGGCCATGATGGCCAAAATGGAGGAATTACAGAAGAAGGTGGCCGAGGGCTCCGGGGAACTCGTCATTCAGCTCCGGACTCGGACGCCATTTACCCCAAGGGTATTGGCGGCCCGGATCCCGGAAAAATACCGAGGGCAACACATACAGCCCTACAGCGGGAAAACGGACCCCCAGGAACATTACAGCAAATACCAAAACAGCATGATGATGGTGGGGGCGTCAGACGAGTATTTGTGTCGTTGGTTCCTCTCCACCTTAGAGGGGCCGGCGTATGAATGGTTCAACAGGCTGCCCGAGGGCTGCATTGATTCGTGGCAAGAACTCGCCCAGCGATTCTTGACACAATTTGCCGGGAGACGTCGCACAAGGAAGCACTTCTCCCACCTCCTAACAATACGCCAAAAGAAGGATGAGACCCTTCGGGATTTCCTAGAGCGCTGGAGGACGGAGGCCGACAAGGTCGACGGTGCTGATGACGGAACCCTCCTGGCCCTCCTACAAACCGTCCTCCGCACCGGCAACTTTTCAAGGAGCCTCATCATTGAACCCCCCCGCGACTACATAAGGGCCTTGCAGCGGGGGGACCGGTATGCTGAGGCCGAGGAGGTGGAGAAATATCACCAACATTCGGACCAGCAGCCCCCGAGGGCTGACAACAAGCATAACCGAGGACCGGGGGCTCCTCCAAATCGCCCCAAGGTTTCGGGACCCTCTGATGACCGCCCTCGGCAAGGCCAAGCCAAGCCCGGGGGAGGTTATAAGAGCAACCCTAAGACCTGGGCCCAGCCCATTCTCCTGGGCCGCCCTCGGACACCACTGACGCACCCTGTCAGCATCATCCTCGATTTTGCAGAGGAGAGGGGTCTCGTTGAGCGCGATTCTCGCGCACCCCCGGAGGTACACGCTATCAACCCTCAGTTCCCCTACTGTCGCTTCCATCGACACCAGGGGCACAGGACCGATGACTGCCATCAACTAAAGACGGCCATCGAGAAATTAATACAAGCAGGGCACCTGTCCCAATTTGTCCAGAGCCCTCGGCAGGAGGGACCTTCTCATCAGGGGCCTCCCCGAGGGCATCACACGAAGGTGAACGCTTGGGTAAACCCGAACACCATCCCCCTCGGCAAGAAGAGGGAGATCGGAAACTTGGAAGAAGAGGAGGGGGAATACCCCCACTACCAGGAGAAGAAACGCCACATCCTCATGATCACCGGTGGCAACACAGGAGGTGATTCCACCAGCCAACGAAAGAAGTGGGCTCAGTCGCTTTACGTGGGGGAAGTCACTCATATGCCCCCGGTAAAACGATTGAGGGAGGAACCCATCACCTTCACCAACGCAGATCTCCCTCCTACTTCTTCTCCTCACAGGGATGCCTTGGTGATTAGAACGGAGATCAACGACACCATCATTCACCGAACTTACGTTGACACGGGCAGCTCCGTCAACGTAATGTACCTCAGCACCTTCAGAGAGCTGCATCTGGAGAGGGGGTCCCTTCGGCCCATTAAGACCCCTCTTGCCGGCTTCACCGGCGACACTATTGATTCCGAGGGGGTAATAACCCTCCCGGTGATCTTCGGCGACGGGCTCCATAGAGCCCAGCTCGAGGTGGAGTTCGTCGTCGTCAAC